TTTCCCCTTCTTCTCCTCTGTGGACGAATTGAACTAATTGGCAGGATAGATTAGTTGGTTGATGCCCAATTTCCCCCCCTTTAGATCCTAGTGGTGATTATCATTCTTTGTGGATGAATTAAAGTGGAGACCTGAGCTGGAAAGTAGTTATTACAGTGGTATCAGAGCCCGGAGAGGTCTGCCGCCGCCACGCTGCCGTCTGCCTCCGTCGTACGTCGTCATCGGAGGTCCAGGGGGTGTTGCCAGAGTCCAGACGCTGCCCAGCTGCTGCCAGACGCTCCAGGGAGGTGCTGTCCAGTCTGCCGCGTCCTGGGAAGCCTGCTGCCACCGGTCCAGATTCTGCCGCCGCCCAGGGAGCGCCGCTGCCGCCTTCCAGATTCTGCCGCCTCACTCTACAGCAGCCCACGCTGCCTACAGTAAGTCGGGTAACCCAACCTCGGGCCCCGCTCAGGTAAATTGGCGTTTAACACCCTTGGTGTACCGGAGTGCCACCGGATTAATTTCCCCCCGCTCCCCCGCTGCTGACCTGCGTGGTCTTGGATGTCGGCTGTGTCCGGCCCCTGGTACGTTTACTAATCCTTTGTGTGATTTTTATTCGTAGTTCATTCATTTTTAAATTTCAAGTTGAATTGCTATTTACTTGATTGTTTAAATTGTGATTACTTGTTGAATCGTGAATTAATTTTCCGGTGAAGAATATTTTGTTTGGATACTCACTGTCCAAAGTTGTGAATATTTCTTCCGGTTTAAATTTAATCACGCGTTGGATTTTTTTTTTTTGATTCTTCTGTTGATTGATTCGTGGATAAACTCTCCGGTTAAGAATATTTGTTTGGATACTTGTTGTCCGAAGTTGGGAATATTTCTGTCCGGATTAGTTTTAGGGTGAAGCGGTTAACACTGCTGTCTACTTGATTAACCGGTCCCCTTCTGTTCCCTTGGGTGGGAAGTGCCCTGAATCTGTTTTTTCAAACAAACCCCTTGATTTGTCTAATCTTAGAGTGTTTTGGTGTGCAGCGTATGTGCACCAACAAGGTGACAAGTTGGATCCTAGGTCTAAGAAAGGAGTCTTCCTAGGTTATCCCGAGGGTGTGAAGGGGTATAGGGTTTGGGATAGGAACCATGTAGGTTTCAAAGTTGTGGTGAGTAGAAACGTTTTTTTCAATGAATCCGAGTTTCCTTGTCTGGTTAAGTCAGTTCCTGATTCTGAGTCTGATCCTCGTAGTACACCCGTTGAGGTGGAGTCCATACCACGTGCTGCTAGCCCTTTGCTTGCTAATCATGATAATGTTGTTTTGCATGATTCTAATTCTTCTGAATTGCATGATTCTGATTCTTCTGAGCATGATACTACCACCACTTCGAGTGAGGTGGAGCATTCTCATATGCATTCAAATGACAATGAATCGCATGATGAGAGTGCGGATGCTAGTGAGAATGATTTGCATGATTATCAACTTGCTAGAGAAGAAGTAGGAGAGTAATTAGGAGAACTGCTGATAGTATGCCTGATTATGCTTTCCATATGTGTGATACTTCTATGTTTGCTTTCTCTGTGTTTGAGACCCTTGAGCTTAACGAACCTAGAACCTATAGAGAGGCCCTTAAGTCTAATGAGTCCGCTAAATGGCTTTGCGCCATGGAAAGTGAGATGGAGTCACTTAGAGCGAATAAGACTTGGACGTTAGTTCCTAGACCGCCCAATAGTTCCGTTGTTACCTGTAAGTGGCTATTTAAGGTTAAGGAATAGCCTAACGACATTAGATATAAGGCTAGGTTAGTAGCTAAGGGATTTACTCAAAAGGAAGGTGTTGATTATTCTGAAATCTTTGCTCCTGTAGTTAAATTTACTACGATTCGTATGATGCTTGCTCTTGTTGCTCATAATGATTGGGAAATGAAGCAAATGGACGTCACCACTGCATTCTTGCATGGTGATTTAGATAAGAAAATCTATATGTCGCAGCCTAAGGGCTTTGTGGATCCCATGAAGAGTCATCATGTGTGTTTGCTTAGGAAGGCCTTGTACGGCCTGAAGCAGTCCCCGAGACAGTGGAATATCAAATTTGACCAGTGCATGTCATCTTTGAAATTTCACAAATCCGAATGCGACCATTGCCTATACTTTAAAAATACTTCTTCTATGCCTGTATTTTTATTGCTATATGTGGATGGCATGTTGATTGTTAGTCCTTCGGGTGACGCCATTAAATGTGTGCAAAAGCGTCTCAGTGAGAACTTTGCTATGAAAGACCTAGGTGATGCCAAAAGGATCCTAGGCATTAACATTGTTAGGGATAGGAGTAAGCGTGTGTTAGTTCTCAATCAGATTTCATACATTGAAAAGATTTTGAGTAAATATAACATGCATTCTGCTACTCCCGTTTCTATCCCGATGGCGTCTCACTTTGTGTTAAGTAAGGATCAGTCTCCTAAGACTGCTCCTGAAATTGCTAAAATGAAATTTGTGCCTTATTCCAATGCTATTGGGTCCGTGATGTATCTCATGGTGAGTACTAGACCCGACATTGCCTATGCTATTAATTGCTTGAGTAGGTATATGTCTAATCCTGGTTTAGATCATTGGAATGTCCTTAAGTGGTTGCTTAGGTACTTGAAATCTTCTGTTAATCATGGGTTGATTTTCACTAGGTGTTCTGAGGGGGTTAAGTTGAGTGGGTATGTGGATTCGAATTTTGCTAATGATAGAGACAATAGGAAATCCACTACCTCTTATGTGTTTACTCTTTGTGGGTCGTGCATTAGTTGGAAGTCTCAACTTCTACCCATCGTTGCCCTATCCACCACCGAGTCTGAGTATGTGGCCGCTATCGAAGCGTTTAAGGAAGCCATTTGGATTAAACGTCTCCTAACGGAGATTGGTAGTCTTAAGCAAGATATTTGTGTGTTTTCTGATAGTCAATCTGCTATTCAATTATGTAAAAACCCTGTGTTTCATGATAGAACTAAGCATATTGATGTTAGATTTCATTTTATACGTGATATTGTGAGTGCAGGTCATATCAAGTTGATTAAAATTCCTTCGGAGTTTAACCCTGCTGACATGGGGACTAAATGTCTCTCGGTCGAAAAGTTGCTACCGTGCAAACGCACGTTAAACATTGATTGCGGATAAGTTGCCTGGTGATGTTACCCCTTTTGCCTGAATATGTCTTTGTGATTATTCGGGCAATCCAGCGATGATGAGTCTCAAATTGTTTTAGAGCGTTGTGCTCTACACCACTAGGGTCCATTTATCCTTAAGCCCAATTGTCTAAGAGAAGATCTGACGCGCCTCTTCCTTCTTACCATTCGCACGCACCTCACTCCTTTCCTTCTGCGGACGATTCCATCTGCTCCTTCGACGTTTAATTACGTATCTTCCTCACAAGGTAAGTTGCCATTCTGGTTCTTTGGTGCTTTGCCTATATATATCGTTCCTTCTTCTCTGCCGAAGGGTGGCCGAACCCTTTTTCCCCTTCTTCTCCTCTGTGGACGAATTGAACTAATTGGCAGGATAGATTAGTTGGTTGATGCCCAATTTCCCCCCCTTTAGATCCTAGTGGTGATTATCATTCTTTGTGGATGAATTAAAGTGGAGACCTGAGCTGGAAAGTAGTTATTACAACTCTATCTTTCTATGTTTCGAATCTCACCCCACTTCACGGCTTTGATTTGAGGCAGAATCCTTTCAAAGATGAAAAAAACGATGAAAACCAAGATGGAAATATAAGTGTATCGGTTGGGCCAATTATGTGATTTGGAAAGAAGCTCAGTTGCAAGAATGGTTTAAGGAGTGTTTGGGATTGCTTAAAAAAAGCGCTTTTCAGCTTTTGTCTTAAAAAAAGTTGAAAATAGTGTTTTCAAATGACAGCTTCTGCTTAAATTAATCACTTAAAAGCTAAAAGCTGGAAGCAGGTAGAAGGGTGCTTTAAACTGCTTCTCACTTTTTCTACTACACAAAAAGTACTTATTTTACCAAACACTACCAACTTTTACTTTTCCAGAATCACTTTATTCTCAAACACTACCAACTTTTACTATTAATCACTTTTCCCAAAATCACTTTAAAAAATCACTTTTTTATAGTTGAAGCAATTGCAAACACTCCCTTAGTATTTTTATTCAAACTACTTGGGGAGACAAATTCTGCCTATTAGGATTAGAAAATTAGATTTGTAGCTGTTTTTACTAATCATTTCCACAATATTCTTGAGGCAGAACTCCCGTAACCATAGTTATTAATTTTGCCCTTCGTTGTTGAAGAGCTGAGTGTGAGTTTGCTATTTTTTCAAAACCGAGTTAATGTGCCCTCAAATAGGCTTTTAAAGGCATGTTTACTTTTGACTTAAATTACTTAATGGATTTAGTTGACATAATGACTTAATTGTTCAATAATATATATAGTTGTGTTTATATACAATTTTATATATAGAGTGGGTTGAGACCCATATACTTAATCCTACCACTATCTTTCACAACAAGAAAAGTAAACATACAATATTCGGAGTACTTTAGTACTTATTTCGAGTTAATTGGTCATATAACATCATTCAGTATTTTCATTTCATAGATATGGCGTCACTTAATGCACACATACGACTTTATCTATTCAAGACTTCATAAAAAATGGATGTACACTTTACCCACAGTAAGGCTTGAAGTAAGGGTTTGTGGGGTCTTTAATTAATTTGGGAAAGTTATTAGAGGATGAACAAGCTATATAAGTTTTTATTCCCTAATGGCCTAATAGAATCTCCAAAGTTTGGTTCTAATATGAAAGGATTCCAAAAAGTCTAGCAATTTTTTATGATAAAAAAATCAAGCATTTGTAAATTCACGTTTGTTTAAAAGATCTTTTTGAAATTTACTAGTGATGAAGTCTCGGTAATGGTGGTATGTTTTTTCAACAAGTATGAAAAAGTAAAATTTAGTAGACTCATAATTAGAAAAGCTTGTTCACATTGTAGAAAATTGAAAGTAAAAAATTAAAATTGACCATACTTGTATTTTAAAATTGACAGTCTTTGTTTGCACTATTTGGTAAATTTACTCTACTTGTGCGGTAAGGTCAAGAAGTGGGAGATCTGGATCACGGAAATGCTGTTAGGCACCTTCTCAACGGACTCAACAAAAGCGGGCAGCGGCTCTAGGCTCGTCGGGTTGACCACATTGACCGGCAGGAACGCCACTGATTCTCCGCCGCCCGCCTGCGGCGCTCGCACCACATTGACGAAGCCGTCCGAGCCCAGATTCGTGCTCGTCCCCTGGCACAAAGTAGGCACAGCAACTGCGCCGCGGCCGGTCTCGTTGTCGGCGCCGTCGATGTAGTCGACGAGGACGTGGAGTAGGAGGACGTCCTTGATCGATTCTAGTGTCCGGTTGCCGCCGCCGGCTAGAGCTTCCATGGCCGCATTGTCTACCGCCAACACGGTTATCCCCTCGCGGCGGTTGATTTCGGCGGTCAGGTTTGTCTCCGTCAGGTAACTACTGAAGCTGCTCAGCTCTGGCTTGTTCTCTAGGATGCTGGTGATGTTGTGCCCCGCTGCCGTCGTGGCTCCCGGGATAAGCCACCACACACTAACCCCACAAATCATCGCCGCCCACAACCGCCGCATTTTATTCAGTTACCACGCTGCGCGGGGCGCGCTGCAAAAGTTGATTTTTAATTTGTGCGCAAGCGATAACAATGAGAATTAATTACGTAGTAATTAGTGGGGTCATGATTATATACATACAAATTACCCCAAATAGGAGTAAAAGTGTAAAACAAAAGTAAAAATAAAAACCAGGACTTTTATACTATCTTTTTCTAAAATAATACGGAGTATCATATTATTTCTATTTTAAAACATACTAGTACATATTTTTCCATTCCATTCTTACACATCTTTAAATAGGAAAAAAAGGTAGACAAAAATCATAAATAAATGATTTAATTTGTAATAAAATCATACTAAAATAATAAAAATTCTTTGAAAATAATAAAAAATAATATAATATTTATAAAATAATCTATATTAAAAAAATTTAAAAAAAATAATAAAAATAGTAAAAATCCACAAAATATATTTGTTCAAACACACAAAAAATCCTACTAGCGAGTTTTTTTTTTAAAACAGTCCTATTAGTGAGTTAAATAACAATGTAGTCAGTCCTATTTGTGATTATTGACTACCTTTTTCTCCTATTTAGATAATTAGCCCTTATATATATAGTATCTCTCTCATATACATGGCTGCTACGTAAGCCATGACTTATCATAAGAAGGTTAGGGATAGAGTTTAGGTGTGAAAAATAAGAAACAAGTTTAGTACTTATATTATCCACTTTATATCTATCCGTCTATCTTTATATCCCTGTGAGAGAAGATTTTTATCTGTGTATCTCGTTCACAGATTTAAACATGTTTTTATCCATGAAAATTTTCATAGAAAAAAATATGTTTGTTTTTGTTTGTGAACGAGATTCAGACAAAAGAATAGTCTCCCACCACACTGGGTATAAGGTGGTGGGTACAAATAGCATTTTTCAATAAAGAAATTGAATGGTGTCTAGGTTTGATTGATGATGTATTATATTTATAAACAAGTACTACGTAGTATTGATAATATGGAGTATGAAAATGCTATTAAATTATTCTTTGTTAAATTTACTATAAAAAAGTATAAATTATTAAGTGTTACATAAATATACTAGTTAAATATACTAGTCAAAGTTTACTTTTTTTATGGGAAAAGTGAGGAGGTAATATAATTTAGATAATTACATTGAGGACCGGACCAAAACCGGTTTGGACCATAATCGAATTTAGCAATGTACATGACCGAAGGCTGGACCGGAATAATTCCAGTCCAAGACCGGACAAGATGATTCCGTTTTTAAATTGAAGGAATAAATTAGAGTCCGATTGTTAACAATGAAATTGGTTGAATTAGATGAAATTAGTAAAATAGTGACTGATTCTCCTGAATTATGCGAGAAATAATTTAAAATATATTTCATTAATAAAATAAAACCGAATTACATAAAAATAGCTAAAGTGATTGTTTTCAGCAAATCTAATTAATTAGTTAGAAAAACAATTCAATATGTAAAATCTTACATATTACATCATGAAGTGACATATTTATTTGGGTGATAAGATTGGTAAGTTGTCCGCAAAACACACGAGTAAATTGACTTAGGGTCTGTTTGGCACTTAGCGGTCAGCGGTTGGCGGATAGCGGATTATATTAGCGGATAGTAAATAGCGGATCCAATCAGCGAATTTGACTAGCGGGTTTGTTTCGCGGGTGCAGAAAAATGTTTGGTAAATTGGCTGTTTGTATGCAGCGGTTAAGAGGAAAAATGACCAAAAAGGACATTATAAAATTTTAGCATTTGTTTTTTCATTACTTTAAATTTAGTACTATACTAATTTATACGTACGTAATATATGTAAATTTTGCATCAAAATTAACTAAATTAGAACATAATAATAAAAAATTAATGAATTCATAGCTATTAAGAAAAACCAAAATAGAAGGATAAAAAATTGAGAAATTTGCAAAGTATTACGAAGTATATAGAATTATAGATACGTATTTACAAATTTCAATACCCGATCACCGATGATTTTTCCCAACCTGAATCTTCAAAACATGATGATTCAATAATAATAATAATAATAATAATAATAATAATAATAATACTCCGTAATTATTATAATAATAAAACAAATTTCAATACCCATTGAAATCAATTGAGATCCAATGGATTAATTCCAATGGATTATTCTAGAGGAGTAATACGTGTATATGAGAATAATCTGCAAGTGTCAATCCAATGTGCGTCTTGCATAGGAGAGAAATTAGAGAGGAGCATCGAAAGTTTGAAACGGCAAATGGTTGCACAACAAAAAAAGGGCATCGGTGGAATTCACTAATTGCTTCGAACCGCCAATACCAAAACGCTCCGGTTAGTAGCGTGTTCATTTTTGGCGGTTTCATCTCAATCGCTTCTTCCAGCCTCTATTTGCCAAACACAAAAAGAATAGCGGTTGCGATGGTCCAACAAGCTAAAATGGTCAAAGACGCCAATTTATGGCTGAAACGCCAATATCCAAACGAGGCCTTAGTGGCCGTTTGGAGTCCAATAAATGGGCTGATAAGCCTCAATGTTGGCGAAAATCACCAAACACCCCTAGGTTGGGCTGATTGGGCTAATTTTTATTAAAAGCTGAAAAAGTAGCCCAACCTCTACTTTTCTGGCTGATTTTTATTATTGTACCGTTACCTGCTTTAAAGACGATTTTATCCCTTCTGGAATACCACATCCGTAATTATCTTCGTTCGCATCCGTCGTCTTCTTCTTCGCAAATACCATTCCGCATCTAGTCGTCTTCTGCTTTAATACTTTCTGCTCGGTTGTTCTTGATTATTTAAAGGTAAGTATCATTTTGGTCTTCAACCCAGTAACTTCCTTCATTTCTAGACATTCTAAGTGCACCAGCCAGAATTTCTACAATTTGGGGTTTCACTCATGGTTGTTTAATTACAATTTTGAGGCATGTTTACTGGATGTTTTGATTAGTTAAATTATAGCACACCCCATTAATACTTATGTTTAGTTTATGTCCAATTTTTACTTATTTATTTTACACGTGAGCTTGTTAATAAAATTAATAAAAACTGTAATTTTTTACATTAATTTACTCATATTAGTAAAAATATTTTACTAGCAAAGCTAACATACATATATATTTCAGATATATAGAAGCAAATATCCTTTTTAGTAATTTTACCTTCAATCAGCCACTTCAGCCAGATTATTACCAAACACTTTCACTTCAATAATTTCAGCCATTTCAGCCACTTTAGCAGTTTCAGCCATTGCAGCCATTACCAAACGGGCCCTTATATTATACTCTGTGTATAGTGAAAATCTGAACTTCCCCTCCCTTGAGATATACTACTACATCGTTTTATGGTACTATGGTAGTTTAGAGTCTTTTAACTTTAATGGCTTTAGTGATATATATAAGTTCATAAATTTATGTAAAAAAAGGTTCATAAATTTATGTATGACATTTAAAAGAAAATTAAATGCATATTATTATCATATGCATCAATTGTATTCATCATGATGATGATGATGATAACAATAATAATGGTGTATATAGGAGTATAATAGTGAGTTGTAAAATCTTCTTTATATGTATAATTCGTACTCCCTCCGTCCCTGAATGTTGTAGCAATTGCGGATTACGAAGGTTGACCGACGATAAAGTTAAATGATCCCTGTGAAAACTCGGATTATTTTTAGTAAATAAAATTTACATATTCAGAAACTACATTAAACCCGCTACAAAGCCTGCAAAAAAAATCAATTTTCATAAAGTTTTGATACAAAAAGTAAGAGTTTAAGAGTGATTTGAGTTGACTCTCGAAAAGCGAAATGGAAGTAAATTTAGGGACAGAGGGAGTAGTATGTAACTAATGGGAGAGTACCAAATTGAGAAAATGATATCGCTTGTGAACTACGGAGTACTTTCTAAAAGTCTGCGCATTGTCATTTTCTTACTGCTAAAGTCTCCTTTCCAATGGAGTATTACTACCGGAAGAGTTTTTTTTTTTATCATAAGAAATCGGAAGAGTTGAAAAATAGAGATAATATGCGGAGGGGATGTTTATGATGTCTTTCACATCTTAAAGTGCAAATTATATCAGTGAGCACACCCCAAATTTCACCAACTGTCAGTCTGTCATGAGCTTAAGTAGCCACAATTTAGCCACAATGTGTCAGATAAGGACCGTTTTTTGGCAAATCTAAGAGTAATTATGAACTTGCAAGAGTAGATTTTAATTGGAAGGTTGCTTTACCTATTAACACAAGTACATCTTTTTTAATTTGGATTCTTTCAAAAAGTTGAATCCCCAACCTCAAGAGCCCCCACGTACCGACCCGACAAGACTTTTGGGAGGCTGTGAGTCACGGTGACTCAGTCGGCCCAATGAAGATAGACCTTGTACCTGTGCGCATCAGAGGTCTAGCCCAGCTCGCAGGAGCTGTAACCTATACACGATCACGGTTTTTGATCTCTGATCATTCTTCTAACTTTCATACCACTTAATCGAGCTATCCGTGCGGTTCCTTTTTTAATTTGGATAACCGTATGCTTTCAGCGATCAATTTTCTTTACTAGACAATTGTTTTTGAGTCCTCTTTTATCCTTACTGTCACGCATTCAACTTTGTTGGAGATGTCGCCATTAATAGCCTAATATTTTTTTTTCCTTTCAAAAAAAAATATATTAGGCTATTAATGGCGACATCTGCAACAAAGTTGAATGCGTGACAGTATCAGGCTATTAATATTAATAGCCAATATTAAATTAGGAATACTTTGTATATTTGGAAACTATTATTAGTATAAATATATCTGCCAGGTACCCTATGGGGTATCCTTTCCCATTATTTCACATGGTATCAGAGCTTAATTTTTTTTTCTTTCTCCTAAACCCTCGATCGATCTATGAGTTCTGAGCCGATCTTCACCTCCGCCGCAGGCTCCTCGGCTGAGACACTGCATTCTTCTGCCGCAGCGTTCTCATCTTCTTCAACAATGGCGTCTATTTCTTCCACCTTCACCGACGCCATCGTCACAAATACCTGCGTCGCTGTCTCTCT